AATACGGTATAGAACGGTAAAATTACGGTACAACTACGGTAGTGTACGGTGAAAATACGGTAGAATATATACTTCTGAACTTTCCGCACTACCGTATTCCAATGGTAACCTACCGTCAAATATACCTTATTTTAGCGATAAGTTACCGTACAATTATGGTACTTTAGCGTACAAAAACAGTACTTTATTTACCGGATTATTAGAGTATTTTACTAACAATTACGGTAAATTACTGTACAATCGCGGTACTTTGCCGTACAATCTCCGTAATTTACGGTGTCATACTGTATTACGGTAAATCACTGTACGTACCGTACTCTACCGTACCCTACCATAAATTTGCCGTACATTACCGTACTCTACCGCACTTTGGATCCGTCAGGGCCATCCTACTTACATAAATAAAAACATGTGGAAAAATTCAAATTATTTTTAAGGGCAAGTTTTTCAAACGATGTATTTTTTATGAGAAATAAACTTATTTTTTTTGTTAACACAGTAAAAAAACTTTGGTTTAATAAAAAATATGGTTCGAAAAATTGGTCTTGTAGATAAAATTTTTAAGAAAAAATAATATCAAACTTGTAAAATATAAAATAATCATCGTAAAAATTGATAAAATCAAAGTTAATAAGTTTACTCTTTCAATTTAATTATTACTATAAATTATTAGATAAGAAATCAGAGAATCGATATAAGTAAAAAAATAAAAAATTCTGGTAATTTTATTATTAATTTATAATAAATTTATTTTTTTCAGACAAAGACATATGGACACTGTTATGCATTAATGTGTTAAGTGCTATGGAAATCCTATGGACTTAACACACTATTGCATAACAGAGTCCATGTCTACATTGTCTTTATTTATATGTTATAAATTATTTTATATTTATACTATAAATATTATATACATAATATTTTAGTACATGTACATTATTTAACGTTAAATTGCTTATTAAAAACATGATTTGTATATTTGAATTCAGATCTTTTCCACGCATTTCTGACTTTAATTATTTATTTATTGAAATAAAATTAAAGATAATTGTTATAAAATATAAGCGTTTTCGTATTTGTTTAATTTGAAAGTTCAATAGATTGTCTAACTATTAAGTTCTATTTTTTGAATTGTTTAAGGAGGTCCTTTCGCCGCCAATGTAAAATAAAAAATATTAGATTATGAGTAAATTCAATTTTTTTCTAATAGTTAAGGTCTTTATTTAAAAATTTTATTTTTTCAAAAATTTGTCCGGTAAAGTATAATTTAAACCTCACTATTAGATAAATAAAGACTTTAACTATTAGAAAAAAATTGAATTTACTCATAATCTAATATTTTTTATTTTACATTGGCGGCGAAAGGACCTCCTTAATCTGGATCCAAGTGTCGTTTTAACTTAGCAGCTTCAACTGTTTTGATGTCAAAGGCAAATAATTTACTCGGATATTCGTGAGCCTCTAATTGCTTCAGCCTTTCTTCGTACTTGGCTAATGAAAATTATTATTATTATTGTTGTTGTTGTTGTTGTTGTTGTTGTTGTTGTTGTTATTTCTAAGCCAATAAAAATTTGAAAAAAACCGCGCTAAAATAGATACCTCTTGCGGCAATGATAGGAATCTCATCAAGATGATTACGCCGTGGGTCGTGGAATAAAGTTAATTATTAATAATTAATTAAATATTGCTATTTGAATAAAACTAATTGTCTATCAATAACCATCAAACGTTTTTAAGTTGATTAAAAAAAAAAAAGTTCGACAATTTCATAATCGAGGGGCCAAAAAAAAATTTTTTTGGCTCATTTAAAAAAAATTTTTTTATAAATAAACTAATGACCATCAAATGATTTTAATATTCGATCATATACTATCAAATGACCATCAAACGATTAAGATAAAAAAAAATAACATTAATTAATAATGAGGGGCTAAATGAGTGGGGGTAGATCTTAGCATATCTTGTAGAAACAACTTGAAGTGAATATATTATATTTTTTTTAATCTATGTAATTGTTGAAAAAAAAAAAAAAAAAAAAAAAAAACACGAAAACAGTGATCGAATGCTGCTGATTTCAACATCATTAGTAATAACACAAATGTCATAATCATCCAGGTTGTTAATATGTAAGGTTAAACATGAGCGGTACTCAATGAATTTTCAAAATTTTTATTTTTTTTTTTAAATTTGAAAATCACACAATAATGGATTTTTGAACATGATACCAACTATTGCGGAAATTTTTTCAAATTTTTTCTTATAGCCAATTTAATGAATCAAATTACCATATTGTGCATGACCAACTAATGAGGTTATTTTGAACTAATGATCAAATAAGTTCAAATCGACTGAATTCAACAGAAAAGATAAAAAGTCAAGCAATATTTTAATTTAAGGTAAAAAGTTATTATTTTTACTATGAATGTTACTTATTTTTTTTAACTGGTGTGTTGTAGGATTTAATTAATTAATTTTTTTTTTTATCATTTTAGAGATTTTACCATCCAGAAGCATTTTACATCAATTCTTATTTTCAATTACAATTAAAATGGTACCGTTAATTATTGATTAATTGCTATCTTAAATTTCTATGAACTATATTTCGAAAAACCCTGATTTAAAAAAAGTATTGAACCATGCAACTGTATATCTATATTGTATGTATATATAGATATACAGTGTGTGAAAAGTATTGAATTACATACTTTTTCAATACTTTTTTTTAATCAGGGATGTCACTTAAATAAAATACTGATTTATTGCATGTAATCAGCAAGTTGATTTTTATTTTAGCATGGTCGTGTGAAAGTTCGTTCAACAGCTGAACAAGAAGCTCGAAAAAGAAAAGAAAGGCAAATCAAAATTATACAATATAGGAAGACATTAAATTCAATTTTTGAAAAGGTGAGCTTTAATTTTAATCTGAAAGATAATAACACTGAATTTTACATTTGTTGATCATCAAATTGAATTATGAAATACGAAAGCCACCTAATAGTAAACATAAATATTTCACAATTAAAAACAATTTTTTTTTTTTTCAAAATATTAAAAAATAATCTTATCCATTACAATATTTTTGAAATAATTTAATTGTTAATAGAGAGATAATAATGTTTTCAACGATGAATTGATAATGTTGACTGAGCGCATATTACTGGAAATTCCGGATTTAAATACCGTATGGAATATTCGCCGAGAAGCATTTAAGAAGAGAGAAAGGTAAATTTTGTGTAAACATTTTTATTTATTTATTCAATTTAAGTTGAATAATCGTTATTTGACCTAATTAACAGCTCTATACTCTTTTTATTTTATTTTTTTTTTTTTCGGTTGCTGAAAAATTTCTACTGAGTGATTCTCCCTTTCCTTCAATCTTTTCTTCTCCCCCTTTCCCAAATTTGTCGTTAAAAGAGGAATTAGTTATTAAATGACTAAAAAGTTCACCTCTAAAAAAGTTATGATAAGCTAAAATTACATAAATTGCTTTAAAAATTTACTAGAAAATTAAATTTAGCTAGCTACACAAGTTAACTGAATTAGATTAGTTGATTATCCAACGATTCAGTTGATTAAATTTAATTAGCTAAGCTTATGCATGCGGCAACTCATGAAGTTTGGATTAATTCCTTTTATCTAAGTTGATAACTCAACTGTGATAAATTAATTTTATAGACCCAATATCGTTTATTCATTGGAATATAAATTTAATTGCATACATTCAAGATAGGGAAATTGAGATTTGGTTCTGCTTTCTAAGCGAGTGACAAATTTGTTCGGGCGTCGCCAGATATCATCGCTACTGTTTAATAAAAGTTTCCAACAAATCACAAGATTTTTTTTTTTTAATTTAAAACAACTTTTTTTATCAAACCGAAAATACAAATAAATTATTTTAAACCAATTATGATTGTAAAATTTTCTTATGAAAAAATTATTGTAATTTGATTTCGTAAAATAAATGGTATAGTTTAGAAAGTTATGATTTTGGTTTTTGAGACATTTCATTCAAGATATAACATTCGGTTATTTAATTTTTTTTTTTTCATTCAATTTATGTTCTTCGTTAACTACTAAATTGTTCTTGTATTTAATTGGTATTTTTTTTTTTTTTTTACTGATTACATCAAACATTTTATGACAAATATTTAGTTGTCAAGAGGAATTTACTGAACTATTAAAGAAGGAATTGACTCTCACTGAGAATTGTCTACAGAAAAATCCAAAGTCATATAGCCTGTGGCATCAAAGATATTGGATCATTCAGCATTTACCGACACCAGACTGGAAATCAGAACTAGAACTATGTGAAAAATGTCTCAATTTCGATGATAGAAATTGTGAGTTCTCAAGTTATCATTTCATTTGTTTCTGTTCTTATCGAAAAAAAGATATATAGTATTTTTAAATTTATGATATAGTAAAGTTTCATGATATGATTTAATTTTATGTTTCAAGTCATAGCGATTTGTTTATTATTATGTCTTAATTTAAGCAATATGATGAATAGACATGATATAAACGCTCGATTTTTTGACATTTATGTTAGATCCATTTATATTATTTGAATTGAAATAATGCTAAATAAATTGCTATAACATAAAGCATAGAATTATTTTTTAAAAATTGTATTATTTTCAACAGTTCATTGTTGGGATTACAGACAGCAGTTGGTTAAAAAAGCGGGAGTATCAAATCAAAAAGAATTTGATTTTTCTGAGATAAAAATTATGAACAATCTCTCAAACTATTCTTCTTGGCATTATAGAAGTAAAATTCTACCTGCTCTGTTTCCTGATCAAACAGGAAAGTTACCAATTTGCAGTGAAAGATGTAATAAAGGTATAAAAAAAAAAAATTACTTTCTTATAGTATTAAGGGGGATAGTCACTGTGAGGATCGAAAAAATAGGTGATTTTCGGGAATCTTTTTGACTGGGATAATGAAGGAATTTGGGGATCGGGTTTTTTTTTTTTTATAAAGTATACATTCAAGATTATTCTCCTAAATTTTTATCAAAAAATATAATGTTACAAAGTTATTAGCATTTTTGTGGAGCACCAAAAAAATTTCCCCCACCACGGTGCGATCTCTTACTAAAAAACGGATTATTTAAAACAAAAAAAACGAATCAGCGTTGTAATCTGCATGCATGTGGTTATCGTTGCATGTAGGGGATTTTGAAAATTTGGATTTCAAAAAAAATGGCGACGTATTAAAAATTTTTTCGATTTTTTTTCTCATTTTTTTGGATTCAAACAGCCCTAAAAAATCTTAAAAATCAAAATTTTTAAAATCCCCTACGTGCAACGATAGCTACTGAATAGACGAATACGGAAAAAAAGTTGCAAATCTAGTCATATTTATGCAAATTACAGTTCGCACCAGTTCAAAAAAAGTAGTTACAAGAAAAACGCGTTTTCATCGGAGTGCCGCGCCTGTAAAGTCATTTTACGCGCTGTCACAAAAATGACTATAACTCGGAAAATATTCGGAATTTTGATACCAAACTCTAGATACATATTTTTGAATCTACACTGAGAAAAAAGTATTTTGATAATCACAATACTTGGTATTTTGATAATCAAAATACCAAGTATTCTGATTATCAGAATACAAGTCAATTCAAGACCTATACTCTGCGCAGTAAACTATAATATATGCGCTGTCACTGCCATCGACGTTTCAACACTAACAGTCAGTTTATTTGATTTATGCACTGGTAAAAATAGAATTCAACTAATATTTATTATATTAGCTTGAAAAAAATTTATTATTACACTTTTAATTTTAATTTTAATTTGTTTTGTTAGCTTTATAAGTTAATTGATTTGTGCCAGTAAAGTGAGGTTATAAACATCCAATAGTCTGTTATATTGGTATACTGATAATCAGTATACCTAGGTATTGTGATAATCAGTATACTTATTTTGATAATCAAAATACCACGTATTCTTAGTAGCACAATACCAAGTATTCTGATTATCAAAATAAATATCCTTAGTAGCAAAATACTTTTTTCTCAGTGTATAAACTTTAATTTAATAAAAAAAAAAAATATTTTTTTTTTTTTCAATTTCACAGTGGCTATCCCCCTTAATATGGATAGCGACAATACTTTCATTAAAAAAATAACAATATATGTATGATTACAGAATTAGATCTTGTTATAAATGCCGTATTTACGGATCCTAATGATTCAAGTGCATGGCTTTATCAGCGTTGGCTTCTGGATTATAACGCTTTTGAGCCAAATACCTTATGGCAAATAGTAGTCATAGATAATCATGCAGCAATAGTATGTCATGGTGATACTCAAATTAAACCTGACGAATTGATATTAACTCGTCGATATGTTCCATTAGATAACGATATGAAAGATTTTACTCATCAAATATCTGTTTGGCATTCATACGACAGTAAAATATTCTCGAAACGATGGCATGCGATTTTGCCAGATATTTCTTCTGAAATAGATAAGAAATTCTGTTCGATATCTATTGAGTATAAAAATAAATCTTATGATCTTCATAGATCTGAAGATTGTAATGTTTGGTTTTATAAATCACCCATCGAATGCGTCAACAAACATGATACTCAACTAACTGAACAAATGATAAATATTCAAAAATTACTCGAAATGGAGCCAAACAATAAGTGGGCATTATTGACTCTTATATTTCTTATGAAAAATCTGGATTTGAACAAATATTATGATGACATCTTAAAAAATTTAAGCATTCTGTCCAAAATTGATAAAATTCATGAAATGTACTATACTGATATCCGTAAGTTATTTTTTTCATTATTCAATCACTCCATGAATTTCAAAAAATACAAAAAAGTATACTTCAATTTCTATATGTCTATATTTTTTCTTTTTCAGGAAGCAAGTACATTCTAGATTATAAACTTCATTCATATTTAACAAAAGAAAATTACAAACGATTCTCGATGATAGATTTGTCCAACATTCAACTGACAGTTTTGTACAATGAACATTATTTGAGTTTTTTCGACCAGGTAAATCTCTCTGGAAATCAACTGAATTTTTCATTACACCGATTAGCTGCTTTACAAAACTGTAAGAAGTTATCCTTATGTAATAATAATCTAAAAAATCTAAAGAACTTTCCATATTTGCCTAACCTCGAATGCCTTTCACTACGAAAAAATGAACTGACAGATATTGAAGAAATTTTGAATTTACTAAAACTGCACAAGCTCATTAAACTAGATATTCGTAGTAATCCTATCTGGACTAACAAAAGTAAAACCATTTCAAAAATTTTCAATGTAACTCCAAATTTAATATTAGAATCTGATAAATAACGCCCAATTTTTTTTTTTTTTTTCAAATATCTTCATAAATAAAAGTTTATACTAAGTAAACTTAGGATAAGAAAGTAATTTACAACAAGTTTTATGTTGTGAAAATTCCTAAAATAATCAATTTTCTTATAAAAATTATACTTACCCGAGTAAAAAAGATTTTATATAATTAGATACGATTATATATAATTGTATATCGTCTATATATAATTGGATATAATTTATATATAATTCTATATAATTATATCCAATTATATAAAATTATTCAAAATCATGAAGGAGAATTATATGAAATTATATATAATTTGATACAATTGTATAAATTTGTATCTAATTAGACACAATTGCATAAAATTATATAAAATTTTATGTGATTTACCTTCACAACTTTATTAAATTTTATACAATTATATAAAATTAGATACAATTGTATAGAATTATATCTTATTAGACACAATTGCATAAAATTATATAAAGTTTTATGTGATTCGCCTTTACAACTTTATACAATTTTATACTATTATATATAACTAGTTGATACCCGCCCGCTTCGCTGGTCATGCAATAAAATTCTATTGTGTAACCTAGACGAAAACTATAAACAAAATGATTAATTTCAACAATCTTAACGAAATTATATCGCTTTTTATCTATAAAATAATTGTTTTTACAGCTCTGAATTCGTTAATAAATTACATAAATAAATATGTTATTATTCTTTTGTCCAAGCGTCAACTTCAATAACGTTATTAAGATTGTTAATTCAGATGATTATTTCTTATCTCAGCGCCATTTTCTATAAAAATATGAACATTAGTAATGAGATTATGAAATTCATCACATATTATTTTAGAATATAAACAACAATGTAATTATATTAATTTAACTGAAAATTAACATCAATATGGCAACGGTAACCATGGTAACGGTTGATTAGCGTAGGTGGTTGTGGGGGGTAGGGTGGGGTTGAGTTCTATAATTGATGGGTGTCACTGATGGTTTCTTAGATTGGCGAATCAAAATGATATTTTCGCCTTAAAAAAAGAGAGAGAGAGATAAGGAAGGGGGAAGAAGGCACGGGCGATAGGGCACGTGAAGGGGTGAGGAAGAATGAGAGGGAGGGGAGGGGGTAGCATACGTGATGGTTGACAAAAAATCCGTTTTGGCTAGGAATTTCGTAAAATCCCTTAATATCTCTCGTCTACGTTAAAAAAGGAGTACCTATGCTAAATTTTAAATGAATCGGTCCAATAGTTTCAGAGATCTAGTGATGGTTGTTTATTCTCCTCATATTATATTCTCCTCATCAATCCTTTCCTACCAAAAATATCCTGTTACGTGAATTTTTGAACGCTTCACGTAATAATTATCCGTAACTCATATTCTTTCCCGCTTCACGGCATTATTTATATTTGTTAAAAATGCTAGCCGTAAGATGGACGGTGTGACTTAATGTATATAGAATAAGTGAAAGGAAATTTAGTATAGACCGGATAGCTCAAATGGTAGAGTAGCCGACATGTCTTCGGAAGGTTCTGGGTTCGAATCCCAGTCCGAGCTATCTAATAATTTTTTCTTGCATATTCTATAAACTCACATTAAGATGATCCTCTCAACAATCCTTTCTCAATCCTTTCCTAACAATTATCCTGTTACGTGAATGTTGGAACGCTTCACGTAATAAATATCCGTAACTCCTATTCTTTCCCGATTCACAGCATTATTTATATTTGTTAAAAAAAAAAAAAAA